AATTAAAACCTGGCTTACAAATAAAACACGCAATTTAAACATCGAGTCAGAGGCAGTTGGCACCTCGTGCTCAGGTGTACCTTGAGCCCCAATGGGCTGGTAATGCTTATTCAGCCCACAAATGAGCCATGCGGCTCCACCACCTGCGAGGTGATTCCGATTCTGCACTGAGTCCCATCTCTCCAAAACTCAGAAAAGCTCTTTTGTTTTTTTTGCCCCAGTTCTTCCCTTCCTTTCCGCACAAGCTCAGAGAGTATTGTTCGGCAGCCCTCCCTCCGGCAGCCAACAGTGTGAGTCCCCGAGGCGTTTCTCCTGTGGGGTCGTGAGGAGAATTTGAATGGGTTGAAGGGGCATTCAAAATCATTTCTTTGGAATGCTTTCCCACTTTGGTGAGAGGAGGCACAGATGGCAGGGTCAGGATGCCTGCCAGCTCTCTCTTCACACCAGGCATCAGGTGAATCCAGGCTGTGGGAAAATGAGCTGCCGGGGAAGGCTTGATGGCTGAAAGAACCCAGACGGTGATTGCCTTGGCTTGGTCTCCGGTTCACCGTGGAAAGCAGCTCTTTTTGGGTGACCAGAGACCTTTGCTTGGGTGTAACACTCATGTCTGAAATACTTTGCTGCACTGCGCACCCTGAGTAGCCGAGGTGATTATCTCAATTGGTTCCTTCAGAGAACTGCTCTGTTGGCTGGGCTGGGAATAACCCGAGACTGGGAGCCTGGAGCCTGGCCCCTAGCAGAAGGCTGCCAGGATGGAGACAGGTTTCCCAGCATCACCTGCTGTTCTCTGCTTTGCCAAGTGCCTGCGTGGCTGGCTGCGTGCCTCTCCCCGAAGCTGTCAGGAAGGTTGTTTCAAATTTCCTCGTCCTCTGATCCGAGGGCTCCAAAGCAGCAGCTCCACTTGCCTCCGGCTGCTTCATTGACTCCTTCCCATACATTGCTAACCTCCCACGGAGTTAACCAAGTTCTTTCAGGTTCCATGGAAGGGGAGGAGCTCAGGTTACCGGAGGCCATGGGGTCGCTGTGGGGATACGGGAGCCAGAGAGAAGCTGGAAGAGCCTCCTGGTTAGCTAGCGCCTATGTCAGATTCATTGGTGGTTCCAGGCGTCTGGTTAGCTTGGTTAGCTTGAGGGGCCCGAACAAATACCACAGATAGGGAGCTAAAACCAGAGAAACGCATTGTTTCACAGCTCTGCAGGCTAGACGAGCGAGGAAAAGTGCTGTTTCCTTTCGAGGGCTGAGAGTACTACTTGTATCCCTTCACCCCACTTCTGGAATCACGTGCGCACGCGCAACCCTGGTGCACGGGTGCATTATTTATCCCTCTCTGCCTTCGTCTCTGCTGGATTTGAGTGCTTGTATATGTTTCCAAATATCTCTTCTGCACAGTTCCTAGTCAAATGGGTGACCCATTAGTTCATAAAAACTATACGCAATTAAGGCCATGTTCTAAAGTATTAGGGAGTGAGAACTTCAGCTTAAGGGCACATAGTTTAACCTACAACAGTCCCCTTTAGACTCAGTGATGCTCGCTGGTAAAATTTATCCCTCCTCGGTTTCTGGAATGATTTTTCTCTTACTGTTTTCTTTTTCCTCTTCTCATGGGTTCTGCTGTCTCACGACCTCCGCTTCTGCGTTGCTCTCTAGATCTCAGGCTCTTCTTGAACTGTCAAGACTCTCAGCGGCTATCATTGACCTAGCCACTCACTGTTCTAGCTCAGCACAGGCCTGCTGGCAAGGTTTTCCCCTCAGACCACTGCCGCAGGTGACAGGTGGTTTCTTTAGGCCTCGACCTCTCTATCACCTAGCCTCAGCCATGATGGTGGGTCTCGTGGGACACAGCATGAAATCTTGGGCAGAAGTCATGTATGCCAAGCTCAAGGAACCACTTGGTTTTTCTCTCAGCTGCTCCCTCCCACCCAGGCCTCATGGCCTCACGCTGCTTCTGCTTTCAGGCTTCTACTTCATCTATGTCTCCAGTGCTTTCGGCACACGAAATGGTATGGCTGTAACTCAGTCCATAATCTCTCTCTGCAGAGATCACTGTTAGCTTCTATATCAAGCCTAGCATTCCCTATTTCTATAGAAACTCTGACTGGTCTCCTTGGGTCAGGTAACTACGGATGGTCTGGGAAAGGTCACAGAGAAGGGGATTTGGGACTAGTCTTTTTGACAGTGTATCTATCCTGCATTTAGAATTCTACAGTTAACAAGAGGCTCCCCCCAAGTATTAACTGATTGAATTCTCTCAACATGCTTGAGAGTGGCTTATTCCTAGATTCCCACTAAACACAGGAGAGCTCTGAGGGTCAGAGGAATTAGATCATGTGTCAGTTGGCTCTTTATAACAAAGAGTCATGAACTAGGTGCAGGTAATAGCAAACTAAGTTTTGGAAGGCTAGTGTTGTTGCAATAGTAGAACCAGATCAGAATACTAGAAGGGAAAAGCCTTATAGGCCAATATCCCTCATGAATATAGGTGCTAAACATCTCAATAAAATGGGGAGGGGGGCAGTAGGAGAATAATAAAATCAGGACCTAATGGGGTTTGTCCCTGGAAAACTAATCTATCTCACCACCCCCTCTTATTTCCTATATAAAATCATGTCTTCTTTGAACTTCTTTCCTGCCATGATGTCTTTCATGTCTCCTTGCCCAAATGCTGTGCATTCGGCAGGGTCTTCTGTACTATGTTGAGAAGAAGAGGCATGAGTGGGAAACATTGTTTTTTTTTTTTTTTTATATCAGAGGAAATATATCAACTTCTCATCTTTGAATGTTATGTTACTTCTGGGATTATCATACATAGCCTTTATTTTGTTGAGTTACATTTTTTCTATGCCTGATTTTTGAGGACTTTTACTATGTACAGTTGTTGAATTTTGCCAAATGCTCATCTATTGAGATGATCAGATGGCTTTTGTCCCCCGTTCTTAAATGCAGTGTATCGTGTTTATTGATGTTTGCCAACCTTCGTTGCATTCCAACCCATCTATTAGTAATCCCTACAGGAAACCAACCCTACAACACACACAACTTTGCCGAATATTAAATATTGAAACTATAGAATGTCTGAACTGGCAGTTCCCTAAGAAGACACATGCATGTACAACAGTTAAATGAGAAATCACTAATCAGGAAAATGCAAACACAGCGCTATATTACCTGACACTTGTTAGGATGACTATTGTCAGAAAGATAGGGACAGCATGTTGATGTTTGTCCTAGTTTCGCTTACGTTGCTATGATAAAATATCTCAACAAGAAAGCAATTTAGGGAAGAAAGGGTTCACTTGCCTTATGATTTCAGTCACCATCCATCGTTGTGGGGAAGTCGAGGAAGGAACTTGGGGCAGCTGGAAGAGATAGAGGGAGTGGGGTAAGAGAATGAAAGTCTGCATACTTAGCACTTACAGCCCAGGCCTCAAATACAGGGAATGGTGCAATCCACTTTCAGGCAGGGTCTCTCTGCATCAGTTAAGGCACTCAAGACAAAACTCACAAACACGCCCACAGGCTAATACTATCCGTACAGCTCTCCATTGACACTCCCTTCTTAGGGGATTTTGGGTTGTAGCAAGATGACAAAACCGTCACAGTGATAACGGGGAGAACAAGCAACATGTGAGTTGTTAGCGAAAATGCACATTTGTAAGCCATCAAGGAAACCTATCTGTAAGTTCCTAAAAGCAATTAAAAACAGAGCTACTGTACGACCCAACAATCCTACTTCTGGGTCTATACAGAGGAAGACAATTCAACCTGTCCTTTTGAGACATGATACTCTAGGGTCAAACAGAAGGGGAGGAGGACCTCCCCTATCTGTGAACTAGGGGAGGAGCATAGGGCGAGAGGAGGGAGGAAGGGTGGGATTGGCAGGAGACAAGGGAAGGGGCCACAGCCCGGATACAAATTGAATAAATTGTAATAAATGATAATAAAAAAATAAATAAAAAAAAAAAGAATGAAACAAAGTCGGTAGATTGCTCATAGCACAACAGCAAGAAATAGAATCAATAGGATCCATTCAATGAATGGATAAAGAAAATGTGCGATGTTATATACATATTATTATTAAGACTCACAATAGGAGGTCCTGTCATTCGTCAGCATGGATGAGCCTTGAAGACATATGCTAAATAAACTAAGATGGGGAAAGAAAGACAAACATGGCACTATCTCACTCACGTGCAGAAGCTTCCAAAGTCTGCTCATTGATGGAAGTAAGTGGTGAGCGCCAGAAGCTGTGGGTTGAATGGGAGGAAAGAGTCAGAAGTGGGCAGAAAGCTCAAGGTACAGTGAGAGACAAAGCAGAAGTCTGTGTAACATGATGACTATAGTCATCAATAATATGTCTCATCTAACAGAGTAGATCTTAAATGTCTTCACCTCAGAAATACGTGTGCGAGGTTATGGATATACCAATTATTTTGATTTAAGCACTACAGGTATCTAAATATGTCCATTATATCCTATGTCGTAAAGATATACTGTCCGGGGAGGGGCATGGGAGAAGAGAGAAGGAGGGCGGGATTGGGAGGGGACGAGGGTGGCGGCTACAGCTAAGGTACAGAGTGAATAAATTGTAATAAATAAAAAATGACTCACAAAAAAATAAATAAATAAGATACACTGTCTGCTAATTAAACCTTAAGAAAGCTGAAAAAAAAAAAGCCTACTCCAAAATGTCGGCTGTAATATTTCCAGATTAAATCACTGATTATGACTTGGCTCCCACCTATAATCCTAGCAGCCAGAAAACTGAAGCAGGAAGATTACTCTGTTCAGTCCCAACTTGGGCTATGTACTGAATTTCAGGCCAGCCTGGGCCATAGAGTGGGATTTGCTACAAATAAGCAAACAAGCTAGCAAGCAAGCAAACACAGACGTAATTTGAGCTGTCTTTATTTCATGGAAAACATTTAATTTTCCTCCTGTTGGCCAGTTCTGATTTTTAAAATGAATATATTTTATTAAAGGTTTTATTTATTTTGTCTCAGGTTTATGGGTGTTCTGCATGTGTGCCTGTGAAACACATATGTACCTGGTGCCTGAGGAGGTCAGAGAAGGTATGGGAGCTCCTGGAAGTGAAGTTTGGATAACCATGAGCTGCCCACGTGGATGCTGGGAATCAAACTTGGATCTTCTAAAAAACAAGCCACCTCTCTCACCCTGCAAGCTCTGGTTCTAATGATCACTTTGCCAAGTCTTCAAAGGATGAATTGTTTTTCTATCAATTAATTTTTTTTTAAGTTGAGATATTTGAAAGCCAGTTTTGGTAAAATACATGGAAAAAAATATTTTTTAAAGCCAAATGGTTAAGACATGTGTAAGTTGAATTATGAGACAATTTTACAAAAGCCCAAGCTTTATAAAGTCCAGTTTATGGTGAGCAAAAGTGTGTATTTCCATTTGATGTTTGTTTTGTTTTCATTCGACAGTGTTTTATACATCAACTATTTTCTGTATGCAGATCAGAAGCACTGTGGCTTCCATTCTGATGGACAGGTTCATGGGCTCTTTGAAGGCAGTTGTGAATCATATTATGAACAACACAGCAAGACATAAAACCATCTCTGCTTCATAAATATCACAGTTAGGTAAAAGCATCATTTTGCCATGCTGTGCTTCACCAAATTTGTATTCATACTCCTTGTAAAACATATCTTTCCATAAACTGACATTTTAATTCTGCTTATAATAGTTGTAGAAATGTTAGATGTTTAACAGAAAGAACTTCCTAAACTTCAATTCAGTTCAAGACATTGGATGAAAAAAAATATAGGGGATCATTAATGGAATTTAGTTGATGTGGTTTTCATTTTGAAACACCGGATAGAATGGTTATAAAGTTAGTATCTGTGTGCAAAACTTTTCTTCTGCTAACAGAGTCAGCACATGGACAGCTATTACCTCTTTTAAATATATTCATGAGAAAATGGAAAATGGAAAAAATTTAATGACTTTGGCTCTCAGAAGTCATGCATCTCATAGTGATATAAATGCGTGTTCTGCAGCTGTGTTTGTTGAACTGACTTTGGGTACAGTCCTCTCACGAATACTATGAATCTTTGAAAATGCTATTGACTCTGCAGCAGGATTGCTCCGACTCAATTTTTCCCATATATATATTTCCCTAAACCATAATCTCTCGTACTTGCCATTGAGCCGTTTTTGGCAAGGCCTGGCAGTTTTGTACAGTGTAGACTTGAGTGTATGTCATGGAGCTTGTCCGCCCACTGGTGAGAGCTGACAGTAGCAGCACGGTATACACTATTTCCCTGCAATGACATGCTCTCCCTAGTTTCTAGGGACACATCACACTTCCGTGCTATAAGTCTGTCCTTTGAACTGTGCTCCGGAAAGGGGCAAAAAATGAGATGAGTTATCCCGGATCATCTCTCAGGTTTAACTGAATATTAAAATGGTTATGCTGCACTAAATTATTGCTCAAATGCCCCATGCTCAGTATGAGGACTATGTCAGTGCGTCTGTGTCTCATAGGGATGCTACAAAAACTGGAAGCTTGCAATGGAAATCTGTGGAATCCATTTGTGTGTGTGTGTGTGTGTGTGTGTGTATACTTTTGTTATGTTTTTATAATTCATCACACACACATTGTTAAACAATGAAACTGGCACAAAGGTTTAGACAGACTAGAAACAGACGTAACTTTGTCACCCCAGGTATATGGCCACCCTAGACACAATAGATGCGACCTCTGTGACTCCTCCCACGGCTGTGGCATGGTGCATGATACTAGAGTTGTTCTCAGAGCACCTCTCTAAGAGACAAGTGCCAACCCTCCCCCTCAGCTCCACTCTGGGACTAGATTTTGTACTTACCCCTTACCAGCGGTATGCTGCAATATTCTTACCTGGCTGTGGAGGAGGGTAGGCTGAGAGGGTGGAGGAATGCCCCGATTGTAGTGCTCGCAGATTTCTGTGATGTAAGTCTATAAATGATAGGTAGCTTCAAAGTCCCCAACTTGACAGTTACTGAACTTGGAGTTGGCAAAAAGTGTATACAACCAACATGCCCCTCCCCGCAAAGCCTTACTCCAAACTTCCATCCAAGAAAACCGAATACCATTGTTCTTTCTTCCTTTCAAAACAGGAAAGATTTTTTTTAATTCCATAAAAAAAAAAAATCACTATGGGGTGTGTGTGTGTGTGTGTGTGTGTGTGTGTGTGTGGTATGTGTGTGCATGTGGTGCATGCACTCATGTGAGTGTGTGTGTTACAGTGCATATAGTGGGTCAAAGGACGATTTGCAGGTGTCTGTACTCGGCTTCTTTGGGTGTGAGCTGGAGATTGAACTCAGGTCATTAGGCTTGGTAGCACCTGCCTTTGCCTAGCAACCTTGTCAGCCCCAGAAGCATAGCTGTTTGTTCCCCTCACACTGATGTACTTCTAAGATCCTGCTATATAAAAGTTTAACTCTCCTTCATTCATCTCTTTCATCTTAGGAGAACAGTGTAATAAACCAAACAGTCTCCTCTATTTCTCTGACCATAACATACTATTTATATTCTTCATATATTCCAAGGCGAAATAAACTAACTAAGCCTTGAGCATCGGTGTAACTCTAGCAATTGTGATGTCCCCACTCTTAGCCAAGAGTAAGGGGAGAAAAATCGTCCACCGTAAAGATCCCTTCAACATCTCTGTTTGCATGTGCTATATTTTAAAAATCATATAAATAGAAAAGGAACTTGAAGGAAAATCCTATATAAATTTAAAGAACTAAATGTCTTAAGCCACAGGACAATTAAGTTTGCTGTGCTCTGGATGCCATTGGAAAAGTCTGGGGACTAAGACATCTCAAGAAATAAACCCTTCATACATGTGTGTTTATTTTTTGCGTATAAAAATAGAAAACTTATATTTTATGCATCAGTTACATTGCTCTGCAACATTTCTTCATAAAGCAGGATGCACTTTATGCTAATTTCCCATGAATATTTCAATATCACTTGCAAAAGAGCAGAAATATGACCCATGTTAAAAAAAAAGAAACACCTCAACCCTGGGGTTGCCACGTTCTGCAGTGGTTTCTTTAATTACAGATTCATGAAGTGAGACTGCAGCAAGCAGAGTAGACACTGAACATGCCAGCCAGGAGGGAGATCCTCACTCCAACCACGGAACACTAAAAATAAACAGATGAAAAGCCACCAAGCACCAGAACAAAAAGGTGACTCATGGCACTCTGCTACAGAGCTGTGGTAAGTTGGTGATTCTTCCTGAAAACCTGAAATTGGAATCAGCAAAAGCGAGCTGTTTATAAAACACCTGAGGACATTTACAGATGGGTGTTCTTGGGACATACTTGGTCAGGAAGAGAATGGAAATACATCAAAGTCTTACTTTGAGAATTTTTCCTGACCTTTGCTGTTTGAGGATAGCCCAACTCCTGTTGTAGGTGCTCATTTGTCTTTCCTGTTCCAGAGTTGGTTTCATAAGGTTCCCATGTTCAGGGAAGGAGGATGGGTGGCTTCTGACAGCTTTATATATATGAGAGATTCTTCCGTGGGTAGATGATTTATTATGATGGTTTTCATGATGCTACAGAAAGAGTGAGACTCTGCTTTTGATACTCCATCTTGGGAAGAGAATTCTGTCTCCAAATGTCAGAAATCTTTGTTGTCAGCAAGACCTGTCCCTCCTCAGATCTTTCTTTCTTTCTTTCTTTCTTTCTTTCTTTCTTTCTTTCTTTCTTTCTTTCTTTCTTTCTTTCTTTCTTTCTCTCTCTCTCTCTCTCTTTCTTTCTTTCTCTCTCTCTCTCTCTTTCTTTTTATCATCTATCTGTCTATCTATCTATCTATCTATCTATCTATCTATCTATCTATCTATCATCTATCCTTGAAAAATGGGGGGGAGGAGCTGTAGGCAGCAGGAGGAGAGAGCCACTAGGCCTGGCTTTGGCATTTAAAACCCCACTTCTTCTAACAAGGCCACATCTACTCCAACAAGGCCACACCTCCTAATGCCACTCCCTGAGCATTCAAATATGAGTCTATTCCGGGCCATTCTTACTGGAACCACCACAGTCTCTTTAGGTTGTGGACTTCTTGGTTTAATATTAGTAGTTTTGCTGAATATAGAAATTCATTAATTTCTTTTAGCTTTTCCAGCTTTATGGAATATATGTTTTAAAAATAATCCCTTATAATATTTTTATTTTTTAAATTAATTAATTTTTTATTAATTAAAGTTTATTCAGTTTGTGTCCCAGCTGTAGCCCCCTCCTTCGTCCCCTCCCAATCCTACCTTTCCTCCCTCTTTTTCTCCTATGCCCTTTCCCCAGTCCAAAGAAAGGGTAGGTCCTCCTTCTATTCCATCTGACCCTAGCCTATCAGGTGTCATGAGGAGTGGCTGCAATGTCTTTCTCTGTGGCCTGGTAAGGCTGCTCCCCACCTCCCCCCAACAGGGGAAGGTGATAAAAGAGCTAGCCACTGAGTTCATGATAGAGACAGCCCCTGTTCCCCTTACTAGGGTACCCACTTGGACACTGAGCTGCCATGGGCTACATCTGTGCAGGGATTCTAGATTATCTCCATGAATGGTCCTTGGTTGGCGTATCAGTTTTAATGGGACAGGGGAGTCATCTTCTGATCTGCAGAGCCGGCATGGCTTGTTTCAGAGATAATGTGACAAGTGATAACAAACTCAGAGGCACTATTTCCCTGTTCTTGGAAGGTCTTTTTTTATTTTTATTTTCCTCTTCAATACAACGGCATCAGAAGGTTTAAAGGAAAGTCAAGAGAAGTGCTGAATATGAAACAGATGGAACCTGATAGTCTGTGTGCATTTCATCTCAAGGGCAAAGATATATAAACTCCAGTGAGTTTTCTTCCAGGTGATTGCTACTGGGGTTGGAGCAGCGACCGTCTTGTAAGAGAGACCCAGACTTGGGGGAATCAAGGCAGCAGCAGAGCGTGCTTCCTGAATACATCCAGTTTCTTGCAGCTGTCCTTGCTAATTCCAGAGCTCAGATTTGGCTGATAGAGATCATTGCCTGAAGCTCTAGAGATTTTTTTTTTTTTTTTTTTTTGCATCAATCCTAAGAGATTGTTGTCAACCTGTGAAAAGCCTAGTGGTTGTTGGATGGTCTTGGAAAAAAAAAATCTGTTGCGTTAGGAACTTTAGCCTGAAACCTCAGTCTGATAGGTGTGAGGAGTGACCTAGTCTCCTTTTACCCAGGCTGAGTTATAATGCATCATTAGGTGCATTAACAAGGCAGATAGCATGGGTTATGGAATCCACTACTCTCTGGTAAGGTCTATCAATTCTCTGTGTCCAAGATGCAGCCTTTCTTGAA